CCCGGCCTCTCTCCGCGGAGCTGTGGCCGGTGCCTGGTGTGAGCAGGGCCGGTCAGTGCCCTCCGGGACCCGCAGCCCGGGCAGCCGCGCGGGTGTCCTGGCAGCAGTGACATGATGTGGTCACCAGTGACGGCGACATGACGTGGTCACCAGTGACGGCGACGCGATGTCGTCACCGAGCGGCTGAGCTGGGCAGACGCGTTCGCGCGGGGCCGGGGCCGGCTCTGCTCGGCTGCGTCTCTGCACCTTCGTGTTGCCGACGAAACAGAAACAAGACCGAGGTTATTTCCTAGCGAAAGCTGCTGGTGCGAGGCCGTGTGGTGCCGGGCGGTGAAATGAAGAGTGGGATTTGCCGCACGTTTGGGCAGCGGTGGCAGGGAGGGACGCGGGAGCGCTCGGCGGGGCCAGCGCGCCCGGTTTGCTGCGTCCAGCCCCGAAATGCCCCGCGCTGGGTTGGCTGGCATGCGCACGGAGCCGAGAGCAGCTTCCTGCAGCAAAGCCTCTGTTCGTGGTGGTGCGCGGTCAGTGTAACCCTGCTGACCATCTTGTCTTGTCTTCCCCCAGGATCTCCGTCGCGATCCCCGTCAGCCGGAACCGGGCAGGATTCCCCTGGGAACCCATGAACTTCATTGACAGGTAGGAAGTTCCTCACAGATAAGTGTGTGACACGCTGATCCCTGGTGAGGCACGGACGTTTCCAGCCCCATCGCGGATTTGTTAATGGAAGATGCGGATGGGCAGCGGGAGAGGTGGGATCATCTTGTTCTCCTTGCGCTCTGCTCCTGGTGGCGCGGGATGCTGAGGAGGGTCCGGAGCAGGTGGAGCTGGGATCTGGATTCGGCTCCTGTGTCTCGATCCACGTCCCCTCTCCCTGAGCGCTCCCGAGCCGGTCCCTGTCCCTCCTGGCAGATGCACAGAGAAGTTTCACTTCCTTTACGTGGGCATTGGCACCAGCTGCGCAGCCCGGGTGCGATGAGGGGGACAAACCAACGCGCTTCCCCTGGGCATCCTGTGCACGTTAAGCGTTTCACAAAAAGAAAGATTGTGAATGAATATGACATTTCTGCAGGTACTTCTTTAGGTCTCAGGTGATGCGGTGCTGGGGATACCAGTAACGCCATGGAAAATAGTCGCAATGAGCTATTTTGTGTGCAGTGATACTTGCCTACCTAAAGCAGCTTGTTAGAAACAATGTAAATATTGATGTGTCTACTCATAAATGCACCAATTTGGTTTAGTGTGACTTACCAGAGCCAGCTTCAGAGCTAATGCTGTGGTGAAGCTGTAAGCGCTGCTGGTTTTTGTGTTGTGACTGTTTCTTACCTAAGTCCCCAAATCTGTGCAAAGCAGCGGAGTTTGGAGGGGAAGAACCACCTTTGGAGATGCAGCTTCCAAAGTTTAAATGTGCAGTAATTTGTGCTCTGTTTCATGAGACAAAAGGTTAAATGCAATCGTGTTTTTTAAAAAGATACCTGAAAATACTTGAAAAGTACCTCTGTGAAGCTGTAGGGATGTGCATAAATACAATCTTATTTTTCCGAATCAACTTTTATCAAAATGCTGCTGTTATGGACCATAACTGAAACAGGTAGTTACCTGCTATTCTGCACCGAGGAATCTCCGTGATTTTGTTGGTGATACAGAGCCCAGACACGAGTCATTAGCAGACTTCCTGCCCGGTAGTTTGTAGACAAAAATAGATCTACGAAACTTGGGGCAGAGCTCGGGTCAAACAAATTCCTCATTTAGTGGCTGTGAGTAGTGCTCTCTACACACACCTCTCTAAACCTGAGAAGTGGACCTCAGAATTAATGCAGTTTTGAGGTTTTAGTAAGAATTAGAATGTTAGTTGATAAATAAGAAAATTCAGAATTGTTCTTTTGGATACTCTTTATTTTACATCTACCTGCATTATCAGCTCCATGAACTTACTGAGGCTGTAAAGGGGGTGCGTGTGTATTTTTGTATATATATAATATATATAGGGGTGTGTGTGAGCATGGCCTTAGTACGGAGCGCTGATGCGCAGCCCAGGTCAGCCTGTGCATGGAAAACCTGCTCCCTTGGCTTCCAAAACCGCGGCGAATCGGGGATAGGCTGTAGTATAATGTGCACAGCATGTGGGGCTGGAAAAGCTGCCGCTTGTTGTGACGATCTAAACATGATAATTTTGCTGTTCTCGCATTAAATGAACCAACCTAGATCCCTTTTCTAGTGAGAAGCATGCATTTAATGACAGGAGGGGGGGAGCATTTGATTGCAGTCTGCAGTGCTGTTACTTAATATTTAAATCTGCCCACGGAAATAAAAGCTTAAATAAAATTATAGTGATTTATAAGTGAAAGGTTTTATTTCTGAGTCAAAATAAACCCTGGATAAACAGGTTTTAATCACTGCTTAGTGTCTCCGAGGGCTGGGGGGACGAGGGAACCCGCACCTGATGTGTCTGTTGCCAGGTTGAAGTCGGGCCACGCGCTTCTCATAATAGAGGTGTCTCCCTCTCAAAAAAAGCCCCTTTATTGTGAGCTCTTAAATCAGGAAAAGTTTAGCTGAAATAAAGAGCCTGGGCTTGTTTATTTAGTGATTTCTGCCTTTCTCGCTGCCCTCGTGCGCGGGGCCGGCGGGAGCTCCCGAGCGCTGCGGCTGTGAATCACTATTGCAGAACGGGAAGAAACGGTGTCAACTTGCAGGGCAAGCAGGGAATCTGTGTCATCGTGGCAGAGCTGGGAAGTGCTTTTTTTGCTTTGTTTTCTTCCTCTGAGATTTTAGGCTGGATACGCTGAGGAGAGAATAGCAGCACTAGTAAAAGATGTTTAGGAGGAGCAAAGCTGTTATTTTTGTGCAAGTTTTTTTTCACTCCTGCCCGAATCCCAAGTTAAGGCTTGTGGCATCCCGCGCTGGGCTTGGAGAGGTTTCCACAGGGCTCGTGTGCCGATTCCGGGAAATATTTAGGCGCCGGGAAGCCCAACCGCGTCCTCCCGCGATGGCGCCCGGGCCCTCGGATGCCGACGGAAGCATCCTCGGAAGGACGCGGAGCGCAGGGCGGCACCGGGAAGAGCCGTGGGGCTCGTGCCGCTGGTTTCGGGGCAGATCAGACCGCCGTGACTGCCGTTCCCGCCAGCAGGCCCAGGCGCGGGGCCTCCCGCCGCCCTCGAGGCTGCGGGGCCGGCGGGAAGCGCGGGAGCGGAGCGGGAGGCGCATCCCGCGGGAGCGCGGCGCGGGAAGGGTTAAGCGCTGCCATTTTGTTATGTAACACCCTTAATGGACATGTCGTGAATGGCACCAAAATGGCAGGGCTTAACCCTTCGCGGGCTGGCGCCTGCGGCCACCAGGCCCGGGCACCGCGGCGGCCACGGGGGCACCGGCCGCGGGGAGCGGAGACGATTTGGGGCTGTCCCGTCCAATTCTGTCAGGGATTTTTTTTCCCTACCCACAAAATAACCAGTGTTTTTTATCTTACTACAGTTGGGTTGTTTTATTCCTTAAAAAGCAGCCGGTTCTTGCTTTAGCGGGACGAAGTTTCTCCTGCAAATCCACGTGGCAAGGACAGCAGCTCCCTCCCCTGCGTGTGGGCACGTGCTGATCCGTGCACACGCGTGTGTGCACTGTACACACACACGGGTTTGTGGAGGAAACCTTGCTGTGACCTTCTGCAGCACACGGCACCTCTCGCTTAGATAACACCGAGCATATAAAAAGGAAAAAAAATATATTTATGGCAGAGCAAATTGAGGCCTGGTTGGAGCAGCACCTTGTTGCAGCCTCTTGCATCCTGCCCACAGATCCGAATCCCGAATCCCAGGAGGGGGCTCCCTGCATCCCGTGTCTGCCCTGTCTAGCCTGGCCCCCCGGGCCCTGTGCTGAGCAGGAGGGACTGCTCCGTCACTGGCTTCAATTGGAGCAACTGCACTTGGAAAATATCTCAAGTGGTCTAATAATACTCAATAATGATTTGCACTGCAAGGCATTGCCTTGAACTCCAGGGCTCTCTGGTAAACTCTTTTTTTCTCTCTCTTTACTGTAAAAATTTCCAGATTGGCCTGGAAGAGGGTTGTTTATCTTTTTATTCATTGATTTATCCTGCCAAAAAGCAGCAACCAGCCTGTTGCCGGGTCGC